TGCATCTGAACACAAACATCGTATAAACAGTCGTTGGTCGCCGGAATTCGATCTGTGAAGAGAAACAGAATGGATTATTTGGGTATTGATTTTAGCTGCGCAATCGGATCTCTCCGAGACGGCAAGTTCCCGGAAAAGGACTGTTTACTTCCCCTCATCTCCAAACTCCTCGGCTATTGCATCGTCGCCGCTTCTACCACCGTCAAACTCCCCCAGGTGCTCACCCTCTTTCTCTCCGATCCCACCACCTTTGTAAATTTGTGCTTTGTTTCAGTCTGTGATTCATTAGTTTGAACCAAATTCCTGTTGAATCGTTGCAAATTGTGGCTCAAAAATCAGGCTTCTTCCTTTGGTTTCAATCCTGCATGCCCATTTATTCCTTTTTCCTGATTTAGCTTTTAGGAATCTGGTTATGCTTTTTTTTATTAGGAGTTGGGAATATGTGGGGAAGTAATTTTGTTGAATGTTGGGCTTCGTGTTGTGTAACTTTTCTACGCCATTGCAGATATTAAAAATTTTGAAGCACAGAAGTGTTAGAGGGCTTAGTATTGTGGGCTTTGAGCTTGAAGTAGTTGGTTATACCATTGCTTTGGCATATTGCCTTCATAAAGGACTGCCCTTTTCAGCCTTTGGGGAATTGGCATTTCTTTTGATTCAAGGTATCTTCCTGACTTGTCTCATGTACCTAGCACATTAGGATGAATGAAGTTCCTTAGGAAGTGTAACTGTGAATTAAGAGATGCAATTGTCTTTCATATTGAGAAATTAAAACCAATCGCTTAGTTTGGCTGAATTGTGTGCAACCTAAGGAAAACGTTGACACTTTCATGAATTTGTTTATTGTTTAGATAAGCGATTTTGTATTCTTAAAGATCTGATAGTATTTTTCTCTTTTGCTTCCTGTTACAGCAATAATTTTAGTTGCTATAATCTACTATTTTTCTCAAGATGTGGGTACCAAGACGTGGATCAAAGCATTACTGTATCCTTTATGCCCCTTTTTTTTTAATTAAAATTTTCTATCAGAGAGGAAAGATTGAGGGGTAACAGGATATCTTCTGAAATTGAAATCTGCAAGAGGAATGAGGAATATGCATATTCCTTAACAGGGCTGGTATTTCAGATATTGTGCTGTGGCACCAACCATCTTAGCTGGTCAAATTGATCCTGTCCTTTTTGAAGCTCTGTATGTAAGTAGCAAACATAGTAATGTTTAATCTCAAGTCTATGCCAATATAATTCAGCTTTTTACTGCCTTGAATCTTTCCGTGTTCCTTGTTTCTGACAACAACCTAGGGATTATGACGTGCAGATAAACAAATCTAAATGTTAAGCGTTTTTTTTCAGTTATTATCCTTTTGTACATCTGTAAGAATTAATTAACATGGAAAGTATTTGCTGCAGGCATCCCAGCATGCAATTTTTTTCTTTGCCCGAGTTCCTCAAATATGGGAAAACTTTAAAGTAAGTCAACTTGTTTCTCTAATTTAGCATAGTTTTTTTCACATAGTAATTTACTACCTTTTTATCAACTATATAGCATATCTAGCCTCTTTTTTTTTTCCTTTTTTCTTTTTTCCTTTTTATCAACTATATAGCAAGTTTCATAGTATACTTGAAAGATTAAGGATATGATTAGTAATTTTCTGGAAGAGACTAATTAGTTGGTTTATGTTCTAATTGCTATCTGGTTACCATTATTCTTACCTCTGGTCTTCGAGATATGTTTGAGATATATTTTCAGCTAATCGTTAATGATATTGACGAACAACTATCCTTTGAGCAGAACAAAAGCACAGGGGAGCTCAGCTTCTTAACATGCTTCATGAATTTTGGTGGTTCTATGGGTGAGTTCATTTTGTTAATAGTTTTGTTGAGTAAATGTGTGGTATAGTTTTGTTGGTTCCTTGTTGATCTTTGTGTGTGTTTGAGATGAGTAAACTTAAGAATGTTTATTTTATGGTTTATTTTTGACTTGCAGTGAGAGTATTCACCAGCATCCAGGAGAAGGCACCAACGAGTGGTATCCTTGTCAATTTTTTTCTTTAGTTAAAACTGAAATGAATGTTAGTAAATACATATGATTCTATATTTGCCATTATAAAATTGTCGAGGTTAACAAGCTAGGCGTGTGAATTATGACAGTTAATTTTAGTTAGGTTAAAACCCTTTTTTGCTCCCTCTACTTTAACAAAAAGTCTCTTTTTAATCTCTCTACTTAAAAAAATCCTTTCTGGTCCTAAAGTTTAAAATTTGGCTTTTTTTCAGTCCCTCTGTTGTTGTTGTTGTTGTTGTTGTTGTTGTTGTTGTTGTTGTTGTGTGAATTATGACAGTTAATTTTAGTTAGGTTAAAACCCTTTTTTGCTCCCTCTACTTTAACAAAAATTCTCTTTTTAATCTCTCTACTTAAAAAAGTCCTTTTTGGTCCTAAAGTTTAAAATTTGGCTTTTTTTTAGTCCTTCTATTGTTGTTGTTGTTATTATTATTTTGCGTGACACGTTATCTTGACGGAAATCCCAAAATAGAGAAACTAAAAAAGGTTTTTTCTTTTTTTTATTTTAAGTAAAGGGACCAAAAAAAGATTTTTTTAAAGTATTTTTTACTTTGAAAATTTTGTTATTTAAATGTGTTACATGTGCAAAAAATAATGAAAGAATTAAAAAAGAGTTGGATTTTAAATTTCAAAAATTAAAAAGAGACTTTTTCATTAAAGTAATGAGATCAAAATAAGGTTTTAACCTTTACTTATATAATTTACCATAAATGACATGCAATGTTTAGTATCAGTGCATTAAGCCCTTCAACTGCAATTGTATCATTTATCTATCCAAGCTACTTGGTGTCCTTAACTCCTTTGGAGTTATTTTGGGTTCTGTACTTGGTGTCCTGACGAACGGCACAATCCTGAGTCAAATTATCATATACCTAAGGCCGCGTGCTCAGAAGGAAAAGAAAGACAAGTAAATGGATTAGAGGCCAAGTGTAGGCAGCTCAAGCCTTGGAACACTAAGATGCTGCAGGTAGCGAGCAAGTGTCTGTGGCAAAGACAAGGATCAATTATTGTGTTACCATACAATCGATGTTCCAACGTGATAGCAGTGGTCATGATACTGAAAGGGTAACTGACATTGTTAATTTAATGTTTGCATAATGCGGTTTAGGATTTAGAGAAATCAATTAAATGGTTAGATCGACATTGTTTGTGGATGATATTCCTTTAAATATTTCGTTCACTTTAGTCATTTCGGGTCATTATATGATCTTTTGAATTGCATTTTTACAATTAGGTGATCTATTAATAAAGAACTTGGGCTATAATGTGTAATTGAAGGTCGATGACAGGTCTGTTGCAACTCGCAGGCAGTTGCGTTTTCCCTTTTCGTTGTAATCTCTTTCTAGGTATATTACTATCGATTACATCACTGAAATCCTATGACGTGCTGGTGATGCACCAAGATCTCTGCTGCCACGCTTTAACTTCCACCCTTTTCAGCTATCTTTCAATGGTTGGGACTTGGGAGGGTCAAAGGCAGGGCAAGTGGAGTAGAGAATCCGTGAGGGTAGGTACAGCCTGAAATGATGGAAGTGGCTGAAAGACGATGAAAAGGCAGGGCTAAAGCATGAATTGTGTGGTAAAGATAATGACAATTTCGTCAAAAAGTAGAGAAGGTAATACGTACAAAGATATCAATTGATAATCAAATCTCTTGCGTTCACGGAACTTTAAAATTTAATTCCGTTTGAAGCGCAAATAGATTGCAGCTACAACACACTCTGCTTTCTGGTGACGTAAATGACAAAATCAGGGAAGTCAACCAGAACCCCACTAAACTAAGTCAACCAGAACCCCACTAAACTAAAAATTTGAAATTTCCAGTCTGATAAGTTTGAACTTCATTTACATATCTGAAACGAAAAGTAAATCAATCCTGCCGTAGCAGAAAGGTAACTTTGATGCAATGAATGCACTATTTCTTGACATACTTATAGTCTGTGATGTGAGACCAGATGAATGTGTACACATGCAGCTGCCGGCAGGGACCAAAAAGAGTGAACCAAAATTTTATAGATACAAAAACTCTCCATGAACAGTGGCAACATAAAAGGTCACTGCCTCTCCTCAACTGCTAAGAGTCTACCATAGGCTTCAACTTCCAATTCATTTAATCATCAATAAACCAAATTCAATCTTCAAAAATTCAATAATTATATCTATTTCTCTACAGGCAATCCTTATGCAAGATCCAACAACCTTTCAGCTGTGTGTAAATCAACTAACCATGGCATGCTTGACAGTGAAGCGTTACAAACTTTCTAGAAACTGAACAAGAATACCTGGCGAAAATTCACATGGCACTAGTAAAGTCAAAAAGTTAAAACTTGGTGCACTTCAAAATCCAATAATATACTACCTATTATACTTTTTTTGATATCATTAGAAAGGTCACAACTTCAAAAGAACTATGAAATTCATGGACCTAGTCGAAGTTCAGCAAATCGGCTGGTTCGATTTCCTGGCCTATTAACCTAAAAATCGTCTTTGAAACCCTTCCCACAAGAATTTAGGATACGGCTTATGGGTATGTCTCTACAAGGTGATTAACAAATACATCACAAATGGAGAGCCTTAATCGGCACTCAACATGTGAATGCATCTTTCCTCCATATGGTGCCATGGAACCTTTTTTGGAAGTTTGAGCATCCTCATTTCAATAAGAAAATAAAAGAACAGGAGCCAATAGCAACAAGTTATCATCCTCAAATTCAATTCAGACGTTATATACATAAAAAGGAAAGAGAGAGCTTGCTTAACAAAGAAACATAAATTAAAGCAAACAGAAACGAAATAAATAAATAAAAATGAAGGAACTCGCCTTTTGCAGTGAAGATTCAATTCAAAAGACAACCAACAGCACACCACATTCAATCCAATACAAGGCAACAGAATCAGATGTTAAAACTGCAACACAATAATATTAAATAGTGCTGGACCAAGAGTTCCTTTTACTTTGCGAAGTTTCTTACTTATCTGCTATTGCCACTTGACAACCTCCTAAAAGTGCAAGCCACAAAACCTCTACCACTTAAAAGTCCTAATCTTGATTTGAAGGATGTTGTGCGAGGATTACTACTGGATGCAGTATTTGCAGGACCCATGTGGTTAGCAGCTGCGGGAATTTCAACAGCATTATCCTGCGCCCCTCCATCACTAGCACTTGCATCTTGATGCTCTGGCTCGCCAGTATCTAGATTAACTGCAAGAGACCCTCTATTTGCTCTTAACCAATCTGCACCTTCTGAAGTTACTCCTCTGCACTTCTTCACCTTCACTTTGACCAAATTTGGGCAACCAGTAGCAAGAGCTTCCATTCCCTGATCCGAAATTGGGCAACTCTTGATACAAAGCTTCTTCAAAGCTATACATTTGGAAGCAATACACGAAATCTCAGCGTCACCAACAGTATCGCCACTGCACAATGCTAACCGCTCCAGATTCTGACAATTTGAGGCCAGCATATCCAGGCTCATCTTCGTGGGATTTACACCAATAAGAACCAATTCTTGCAAATTAGGGCAACATTTAGCGACCGCGATTAATCCTTCGTCTCCTATTCGGTTTGCTTTCCATCCATCAATGTGAAGCTTCCTTAACAATTTGCACCGTTCTGCCACAGACGCGAGACCGGCGCTGGTGCACTCCGGCGTCTTGACAAGATGTAGAATCTCCAGATCCAAACAGTTAGATATAGCAGCAAGACCTATGTCGGTGACCTGTACCCGCTCCAGATGGATCTCCACCATGCCTGTGACTCCATCAGCTATCACTTGGACAACCTTATCCCAGTCACCAGAACACTTAAAAAGCTTCAAAGTTCTTAGATTCTTGGCACAGATAATAAGGGGACCAAAGCACTGTCCATTGTAAAGCTCCTTTAAGCAAATCGTTTTGAGGGAGGCAGCAGCAACGCCAGGTCCTATTGGCTCAGCGGCAGCTCCTTCCGTGATACCACGGAGCCGCTTGACTGAGAGTTCCTCTAGAGCAGCGCAGTTGTCAAGAACCGCGTTCATGCCTTTGGCTCCAAAATTACAAGATCCACAGGAAAGCTTCTTCAAAGTCTTGCAGTTTTTAGCGAAAGCTGACATACCTACGTCGGTCAAGTCGCGGCAACCTCGAAGCTTAAGCCGAGTCAAGTTGCGGCAGCGTTGTGAGATGAGAACAAGAGCCTCGTCCCCGATACTCGCAGATTTACGGTCACATTTCAAGGCGAGTTTGGTGACTGCATCAAAGCGAGAGAAAAGAGAATGAATCAAGGGATGCAGATCTGACTGTGCCTTCAGAGACAACCGATGACGGCTCTGTCCCTCGATCTTCAACCACCTCCGACAAACAAGAGAGCATTGCTTCCGGTCACTGGTGTTGAGAGACTGGAAAACGCAAGCCAAGCACTCGTCTGGTAGATCAGATATGTAATCGGATGATCCATCTAGACTTCCATCATGCTCCTCAGCTTCATCATCTTGCATCGGTAAGATCAAAGCCGTCGATTTTGACTTCGATCGGTGGCTCAGGCTTGAGTCTCGGCGGCCTGAAATTGCGGCCGTTGAAGCTGACTGACCCATCCACCACAAACTACCAAAATGGACAGCGGCGCCACAGGGTTCTTATCCTGCGCACCACCACACTGAAAACTTACGGAGGCAAACGCCGGAGCCTGCCCGCCTACCTGCCTCTAAGGCTCGTTTTTTTCCGTTTTCCCCTTTTCCAGAAAAATGTTCAGAGAGCGGACTTGAATTCGGATTTCATTTGGCTTTTCTGATGTCGTGTCAAATTCATTTATTTATTTATTTTTGTTTTAAATCTCCTAGCCTGAGTTTAAATACACGGAGCGCCTCCTTAGCCTCCCATTATTTTATGCGTATATGCACCACATGATCTTTGATTGAGTCCAAGTTAAAAACGATGAGGGGTTATATGTGGAGATATTAACTGTGAGTAGGTAAGGTTGTGCGCATGGGATTCGTTCTCTTTTTTATTTTTCTCAACATACAGTATCCATGATGGGATTTTTTTTTTTTAAATGTTATTTACACACTGATACTGTACATGAGAATAAGGGATTCATTCTTCCTTGCGTTATCTTATGTTTGTCCTTTTACGGAAGAAAGTAGTAACTAACAATTTAAGCAGCTCCAGCGGATATTCTGTTAATGTAAGTAATAAATATTAGGTTTGAAATGCAAGTAAAATTATTTATTTATTTATTTATTAAAAAATTACTTGTTTGGTAACTTGTTTTGAAATTAAAGTTCTTAAATTATTCCCTCAAAAAAAAGTTCTTAAATTATTAAGTATTAATTTAATTAAGTTTTTGTTAATTTAAAATATAAATAAATAAATATTTAAAATATAAATTTTATATTTTATAATTTAACTTATATTAAATTATAAAATATAAATGCCAACAAACTAAATAATTAAGTGATCATCTCTTTTCATTGAAAATAAGAAATCTTGAATTTGAGTCAACTAACATGCAGATAGAGTTGGATAAAAGATAGAAGATGATTGTTTTCAATTGTATAACCAAAATAAAAAAAAATAAAAAAAATTAAAGTTTGATAAGAATAGGTCTCCTAATAAATATTAAGTATAATTTAATATATTTTAAATTATGTAAGTGAAATAACTTAAAAATTAAAAGAATTTTTTTTTTTGTTATTATGTAATTTAAAATAAATTAAAAAAATCTACAAACAACGAATTTTTTCCCACTTCCATTTGCGGTCTTCTACCGGAATGCGATGAGCGTCAAAGTAGGGGAATTGCTTTATGGTTTTAAAAGTCAAGTATGCATATTTAGTGAAAAGTGATAGTCACCATAAATGGATGTAAGTATAATTTGAGACTCATTTGTTACTACTATAATTTCATTGAAAGTGCTCCCCGCTTAGGGCAACTGGAAAGGGCCAGATACTTTAGGACTCTAGGTTGTTACCCCTTTGGAGTGTTTAAGTTTTGAGTGTTAGGGACAACTTAATTCCATCTTTCCCCCTTCCCTTTTGCAACAATAGAAAATAGAACATTTACCTTTATTTAAAAAAGAATCATTTTATTGTAATTTTTTTTTCTTAAAATTAAAAATTTTAATTTTATATTACATAACATATGAATAAAATATATTAAAAAATGAGTAAGTATTGTTTTTTATTATATAATCAAAATAAATAATAATAATAATTTAATTGAGAGTTTATTTATTAATACAAATGATTCGGTGGTCTTCTTATTTGCTTAAAAAACATAAACTAAAAAAACCTAGACCCGTGACTTATATAATCATGCTCCAGCCACACTATTAACATTCAACTCTCTTGCATCCATATTTTTCTTTCTGTGATTGCATCAACTTTACCACGTTTTCTACCATACCATGGAATAAAGTGGCAGTGCGAATCGAATCAGTCCACATACCAGAAATGAATACGAAAATTTGACGAAGACTCTACTAAAGTCGAATAGCTTAAGACAAAAAAATAATGACGTGACTGTAGTGGACTACGAGCGACGACTAAGAATGTTCTAATCTCTCTCAAACCCAGCACTATATATGGATGTTATCATCAAAACGTGTTATTGCGCAAATAGATGGAGAAACAGTCCAAGAGTGGGATGTGCTAGCTAGAGGGAATAAAGCAGCATTGATACAGATATTGGCGCATGTAAAGGTGGAACTAAAATCTAAGACTTTTTAAGACCATACTTTTAACATTTGGTCCCTTAACTTTATAGTATTATATTATTTTAGTCTCTTAACTATTTTTTATATTTTTTTGATCCTTTCATTTTAAAAATTGCATAATTTTAATCTTTCATCAGTTAACCATAACGTGATTGTTAAATAATTCAATAATGACATTTTCTTTTAATTCTTTTGATGACATGGCAATAATATATCTTATAATTAGGTTATATGGACAAATAAAAATACCACATTAGATGAATATTTATATTTTTAATAAAAAGAACTAAAAAAAATTTACATTATTGCCCCTCCCCCTCTCGATCCATCTTCTTCCCCTTCTTTCTTTCTCTTTCTTCCTCTTTCCTACCTCTGGGTCAATGGAATAGAACCTAGCAGTTGGGTTTAGTGGAACCGAATTTGGATTTGCTGGGTTCCATCAAACCTAGCTGTTGGGTTCGATGGATCCTAGATCTGCTAGGTTTCATCGAACCCAACTGCTAGGTTTAGAACTGGGTTCTGTCGATTTCTATTCTTCTTTAGAGCTAGGTTTAAAGCTAGGTTTGTCAAGTTCACCAAGTTTTCTCATTATTCTTTCGATTTCCATTCCTAGTACTTGATAAATTTGGGAGTTGATTTACAATTTGATTGCATTTATGTTGGAATTTTATTAGGGTTTGATTGAGATTGTTTATTGAGGAGTTAATTTGATTTGATGAGATCTGTTGGGTTTGATAGAACCAATAAGTGGGTTCAACAAAACCAACAGCTAAGTTTCACCTAACCTAGTAGTTGGGTTCAATGACCCAAATCTATCAAGTTCGATCAAACTTAGTAACTGGGTTTGATAGATCCCAAATTCTGCTAGATTCAACTTTAGCTTGAGCAAAGCGGGGAAGAAGATGGATTGAAAGGGAGATGGGATAATAACATAACTTTATTGTTTTTTATTTCTTTTTTATTTCAAACCACAATCACAGACACGTTGTAAGGATTCACCCTCAGTAGTAGTAGAGGCAACCTAGCTCAAGCAAATCTCATATCGAATGCCCTCCATTTAGATCTCCCCAAGGTTTGCTGAGAAAAGGGAAGAAGAAGATATGGATTAGGATTGGTGTTGCAGATGGAGTGAAGATGAGAGAGCATTCTAGGGTTCATAGATGTTTTACCCCTTTATTTAATCTTTGTAGTGCAATGTGGGACCCATTCAAAGGGCTTTTGACGCATTTGATTTGTGGGAATATGACATAGCATAAGTTTTGCCCATATCAGCATCCTTTTTAAGTTGTATCATCCATGTCATTAGAAAAATTTTTTAAATTCCATGGGGATCGCAGTTAATGGCCCTAATTGATAGAAGGATTAAATTTGTACAATTTTTAGAGTTAATGGATCAAAAAATGTAAAAATAGTTGAAGGACTAAAATTACGTAATACTATAAAATTAAGGGACTAAAATTAACATTTAACCTATTTTTAACCGCATTCAAGTGTTTTACCTAAACAATTATTGTATAGTCTATTGCAATTCAAAATATTAAATGAAGACAAATTTTTTGATATTTAAGATTATTATATCCTTATTAAAAAATTTCTCCTTTGTAATTTAGTACAAATTTAAATTACAAAATAGAATCCTCTTATTTTAATATTGTACATCCAAGAAGGTGCCACCCTCTTAAATATGAGATGGTTATTTCAAACTTTGAACTCTCCTCTCCCCAACTGTAAAAAAGTGCCATTGAGAAATTGTCAATATTAGTATACATCCATTTTATTTTCTAAAATATAAAGTTCATGCATATGCGTTACAAATTACAACCATTATGCGTACTACACAAATATAACATAATTTGAAAGTACTTAACTAATAAATCACAAAAAAAAAATTAATAATTTAAGTAACTAAATAATAATATCTCTTGTCGTCCCAACTTTAACATATTCCGTTCCTTTTAAAAGAAATAACTTTCTAGAGATTACCAGTCCACTTGAAAAATAGAAGGCGGAGAAGTGGGCATATCACCTATGGGCCGAACTCTATAATAAATCAAGTGGGTTAGGCCCACAACAACTGAACTTCAACCTAATTTCAAAATTTAAACACGTGAATGTCAATTGTCAAGGTCCAAATAATCCACAGAACAAGAGCTCTGGACTGACCCACTGAAAAAAGTTGGGCCACTTGACCCGCAGCATAAAACGACGACGTAGCATCTTATCCCTTCTCCATCCAGCGAATCCAGCCAAAGCGATACGGCAGCATTCGATCATCAGTTGGAGGCCACTCAAAAGCTTGTCCATGGCCGCTCCTCTGCTTCTCAGAGGCGTCCCTGTCCTCCGCCTCCGGCTGCACCACCAGGTGCGTCTTGCCGCTGGACTCCTTTCAGTACCCCGCCGGCCTTGGTGCGCTGCAGCCGAGTCGGCCAATCGCGAAGAGGATGCATCAGCTGCAGACAAGAACGCCTCAGTGTTGAGTGTCAGAGAACCACCGAAGTACCACAGGTGGGATGACCCTGATTACAGGAAATGGAAGGATATGGAGGAGGAGATCCTTCGAGATGTGGAACCTGTTGTAATGCTGACTAAAGAGATACTTCACTCTGATAGGTTAGTCTCTAATCATGGATATATATTTGGTTTTTACTTTGATTTTTTAGGACTTACGGTTGAAGATGATTGTGGTTCCATTTTAAGTAGATGTTTTTGGTTTTTTTTTTTTTTTTTATCCGAATCATGCTGCCATTATAATGCTGCTTATTGATGACGATTTTAGCAAAATTAGGGCTGTAATTGCTTATTGATGAACGTTGTTACATCCTGTAGATATCACTTATCAGCAGAATCTTACCTTTGTTTCATCATTGTTGTTACCGATGTGGCAGAAATCATTGGCTGGTTTTTTTGTTTATGTAAGGTAGATTGGTGAAACTTTATCTAGCTTGCTGCTAAAAGAGTGAACGATAGTGTCTTCTAGTGAATGAAGGGCCTCTCAATCCATTTCTCGTTTTCCTGTTTTTCCTGTTGAATGTGATTCGGGATATGCTTGGACTTAAAAATAAGTAATCACATTAGTAATGGAGTTTGTGAATAGTCTGTGATGCTGCTATGAGATGATTCTATAATCTATATCCAATTATGAGAAAGCAATAAAGCAATAAATAATTTCTTGAAAACATGCAAATTACTTTACAGGAATTTTAAGTCTAAGCATGTAAATAGATAGCATAAAGGGTAAATGGGATACAGTGCCTGGACATTGACCTCTTTTAGATATTAAGAAATATGTAAACTCAGGTGCCAATCCAAACCAAGCAGAGGCCCTGAAGCATGCTCTCAGTACCTATATAAGGTATGGTACATTGTTGGGCAAAGCAAACAATGGAGAGGGAGATAGTCTTCAGATCTGATATTTGGAAGCAAATAGGGATTTTGTTTATTATTAGTAGTATTATTTTCTAAATCTAAACAGGTTATTTATTTGTTTTCAGCCCTATTCAATAAAGGAATCAACAATTAAATACCTGAACTAAACTTATCTTACTAAATTCTTTTCCTATTTTCTTTTCTGCTGTTAGGTATGGGGATGGAGAACGTTTAACAGCAGAAGATGAGAGAGCTGTGGTGGAGAAGCTTCTTGCTTTTCATCCACATGCTGAAGATAAAATTGGATGTGGGCTTGATTCTATCATGGTGAGTTTATGTTTTTGTTTTCATTTCTAGTATTTTTGATTATTTTGGTTTGGTTATGACTGTGATGCCCATGATCTTGCTGCATGCTTTGGTCACTCTACTTACTCTGTTTTATAATCCCATTGGAGATTCATGCTAATACAATACCAACAAACCCAAGAGTCAAAATCAGAGTCTTTATATGTACAAAATTCCAAACCATTCCAGTTCTCCATCTTTCCCATTCATTGTTGTAGCCCTTTCTGTAGGCAAACTGAGCCTAATTGGTAGTTCCTTCTTGGCGTCCATTGTCAGTTTTCTGCATTGAGCCATATTTGGTGCAATAACAAAAGCTGGGAGAATTGTGCAAACTGAAAAATTGCCAGATCTGAACATTCTATCTTTCAAATATTATATCATTTTATAGAAATGATCCTCTCATAGTGCAGCTGTCCTTGTCTAGTAGGTTTGGTCAAGCCAGGCAGAACTCGGATTGGCATGATTCATGCCACACGAGTTTCATTGATCATGTTTAAGATAGATACATATAAGGGAACTCTACCAAACCCTTAACTTGAATCTAATCTATAATATATATTAATTCAGAATCCAACCATCAGCATCAAGGGCCCAACCATGCTGCTTGTGTTTTTGCCTTGGCCAATTTAGTTACTTTTGATTTTGCCAAAAGAGGTATGGGTTTGAATGGGTTTTTGGGTTGTTTAGGACATTAAGAAGGGTAATTTTGTCTTGGCATCTGGTTTGTGCGTGCAAATGCTGCCATTTTTATTTTTATTGTATTGATGTTAATTTAGCATCTGTTCTGTTTGCTTAAAACCTGCCTTTGTTTTTCTTTTGCCTTTCCCTTTCACATCAGCTATGAATTTTCTGTTTTATTTTACGAAACTCAATATAAGGTGTAAATGTTCAAAACTTTTCCAGCTGTTTCAGTGGTGATCATGAATGATATTGCATTGTGTTGCCTTCTATCTGTGGGTCACTGTGTATTTTGCATCTTTTTGCATAAAGTTGCATTGCCTACTAGAATTATCTGATATGTACTTGACTTTTCTTTTTGAAGGTTGATCGACACCCTCAATTTAGACACTCAAGGTGTCTCTTTGTAGTAAGAACTGATGGTGGCTGGATTGATTTCTCATACCAGAAGTGTCTTCGAGCATACATTCGAGATAAGTACCCATCCTATGCAGAAAGATTTATTCGAGAACATTTTAAACGTTAGTGGTTGATCCAAGAAAATCTTAGTGCTAATGTCTGTACTCAACTGAGTTTTACGTCTCTAGAGTTGTTTTTAATATTTTGCTCGTTTAGAATTTGGTTTGCCCATTGATGTCATAATCTATATATAATATCTAAAGCCTGAATCTGCTATTGTCAATATGTAGCAGGATCTTCCTTGACTAGCATTTCAAGTTTGTTTGAAAAATGAAGCCAAAGAAAATGATTGATATGAAGCTGAACCTTACTTTGTTGACTTGCATCTACCATTTGTTTGGCCTTGCATATAAAATTTGTCTTCTAGGAACAATCTTTTCCAGTAAACCTTAAGACCTGATTTTTATTATATATATATATATATAAAGCTGTAAGAATTTTCAAGACATCAATTGTAGGCAGGGCGCTGTTAAGTCCAAGATGACTCATGCCCTTAAAGACAAAAACTCTCATTTGTTTGAGAAGGTTAACACCTTGAGCATGTAGAAGTCCAAGAAAAAGAACATGCATGTGCATGAGCATTACATACTTAAACACCTATTGATTTATCTCCTATTCAGAGGCCATAATAGTGGTTAACGTGCGTCATTACCCATTTTCTGATAACATGGGTATATTTCAATTAAAGACTTAGTGTTATGATGATGTATAACATGCACCCACTCTACTTTGGAGACAGATTGACGCATTTGATTCGATCCTTTGACCATATGATCTTCTTACTCTTTCCTTTGATGGATCACATCATCCACTTCGACACAGGGGGTGGTTGGTACCACCTCGCACCACCACCACCACAATGGTGGTGAATAAATGATCGTGTGTGATGGACCACCGAATGTGAGTTGCCTTAACCATTTAAGTCTCTCTTGAAGGGAAATAACTGAGACGTTTAATCCTATTAAATCACAATAATTGATGGTTATGGCGCACCACCAAAATTTCTTACTACTTTAGTGGTTGAATATGTGACTTTTGCTAGTCAATGCAATCAGTGCAGCTGGTCAGCTTGTCCAGCTCTTAGTCAAAATGGTAGGCAACTCCATTGGCTGGCCCTAAAACATTGTCTGCATTTAAACACACACACACTCTCTCTCTTCCATAATACTCTCTTAATCTCAAATTATCTGTTATTATAACTAATTTGTATATAATTTTAGATAATGATTTTATATAACATATGAGTGATAATTAAATTTTTTTAGTTTCAATAAGTAATTTTTTTTAGTAATTTCATTTGATCAAAAAATATTTTTAATTATTATTCTTATGTTATAGAAAAACATTACTTAAAGTTCCATGTAAATTAGTTATAGTAATAAATAATTTGAGATAGAGGGAGTATATATAATTCAAAGCACGAGCTGTTGAAAGTTGAAACAGGAATACCGTGCAGGCTCCAACTAGCAAATGTAACTTTTGAAAGAGCTCGGCTTTTCAAAAGGACAGTTCTATTTTAGGATTAATTTGGCCTTGGTAGGAGACTTAAGTGGGGTATTAGGTAGGGTGTTTTTTTTTTTTTTTTTGGCAGATAAGTGAAGTTCTAACCTTAATTGAGTACAAGTAGGAAGGAAACTTTGGCCATTGGGGAATGGGAATTGGCCACAAGGGGATTCGGTAGTATTTCCTTTGGTAAATGAATAAATAGGTTGAAGACATGTACCATCCTGTCTTTTTTTATGCAATCTTTGTGAAAACACTTGTTGAATTAGAAATAGCATAAGAAAAAGAGTTGCAGGACATGGGGAATGAAGGTCAACTACTGCCGTGTTGATGCAAAGGCTAAAAAGCTTTAGCAGACACTTAACCATCAATAATGAAAAAGTTGTGCAAACTATGGTATGATGATTTGGGGACAACTATGATGATTATACTGGGACTAGCCGAAAGTGGACCCTCTGAATTTGGAGGTCCACTACCCAGCTGGATGAAGAAGAAATCCATGTGGGCCCTCACCACACCACAGAGTAGATAGCCAAGACACCATTATGGGGGGTTTCATGGTACAGATTGATGGCAAAAAAATATGTTTTGACTCTCAAGACAAGAAAAAGGATGATAGCGATCTTGCCCTACTTTGAAGGGTATTACTAGTGATCCTCGGCCTTCTCCTCTCGCTAAACTGTACGGTTTCTCTACTCATATGGTCTGATGCATATTATTTATATATGTGTAGATCAATTTGTGCAAGCTAGTATATATTGTTTAATGGGTTCCGATTATGGGTTTTGCTTTTTGTTGATGAAATGAAAGAAAGATAAAACCAGTCACACATACGTTATGATCTGATCTGACTCTGACCAGACTGATCAAAGTCTCAAACTAAGAAGTCTTTCTGTTTTTAGGGGAATTGAGAGAAAAAGGAGAAAAAGAAAATATCGTTGATTGTACAAAAACTGTGAAGTAATCGGGTTTTGCTCAATTTGGTTAGATCTTTGAGGTTCACTTTTGTGGGATTGGGTGGCGACCACCACAACCACCACCACATCTACCACCTCCTTTCCCATCCGCCATTGATTTCTGTCTCACCTTTATTTTGGTATTGTGATTTCTTTTTCACCTGCTTGCACTCACAGACTCGCCCCTTTTTTGTGTCCTCTCAACAGCTTCATCTCTCGGGTATCGAGCCCATAAAAGAGAAGCAGTAGACACTGTAGACTAGTGAAAAGAAAAAGAAAGAAAGCAACGTATCAGTAATGGATTTCCATTGCATTGGCATCATCTACGTACGTGGGAGGGTAAGAATTTTTTTGAAACCTGTTGATAAATACACAGCCACCCCTGTTCTTTCTGCCATTATAGATGAGTACGCGCAGCTGCAGAATTTACATATGAGATATCTTTTCGTACAATAGAGGAGTTGAGCCGTCCTGATTGAGAGAAGTAAAATAAATTTTTAGACGGGGAAGTGCTTATTTAAATTTTTTTTTGTTTTGGTAAAAACTCTTTTTAAGTCCTTAAATTTATCTCAAAACAGCATTTAAGCTCTTTAACTAAAAATAAAATAAATAAGTTTTTTAACTCCATTAATGATACAAATAAGCCTTCTTCATTTATGGGTGTTCATGCTTTCAAGATAATATTAAATATGAAACACCGTTTGGTCAGTTTATAAAAAGGATTTATTTGTATTATTAGTAGAGTTGGAGAGTTTGTATATTTTATTTTTAGTTTAAGGATTTAAATGTTATTTTGGGATGAATTTGAGCGCTTAAGAAGAGTTTTTTTCTTTTTTTATTTTACTTTTTTATTCATTGGGTTTCGTTACTTGGAATGAAACTGGAAACTGGAAACTGGCAAAGAATGAAGGCAAAATAATGACATTGAATTCCTTTTCCCGTAGAACCGTGCTAGTTGGTGTTAGATTAGACTCTAGAGATTGGCATTACTCTTTCTTCTTGCTTTTTTGCTTAGACACTATTACTTTGTCGCTAAAAGGATGTGATAGTTATACTTGTATACTGCTTATCGACGTATAAAGTGCTTTTTTCTATTTTTTATTTTTAAAATGTCTAAAGTGCTTCGAAATTTTTGGAATTTTGAATGTGCCGAGTGTGAAGCATAAACTCCTCTTGATACTGATGAAAATTGAATTCAAAGCTTTACTATCTGTTCACACTTTAAAGCGGTTTGATATAATAATTTAAAATTAGTAGTTAATAAATTTATTTATTTTAAAAAATAAAAATATTTAAATTAATAATAATTATTATTAACAATTAAATTAATAAAATTATTAATTGTAGGAAAAAATTGAAAACACCAAACTCTAAATAAATACCTTAATTACCTAATAAAAAATAATTTTCTCACATCATACGCCCTTACATTTCATATTAATATGATCTAAATTTGAAGGAAGAATGTTAAAACCGCATCACTATGGTTTACCATGAAAAATTGTATGATACAATAGAATTCCTATCTTCCACACAATTTTAACATCTTTTCATGGCTTTCTGCAGCAAAAGCGGTTTGACAGGGCTTTTAAAGGGCAACCATAAATAAATTTTCTGAAATTCCTCTGGCGAGGTGAGAGTAAAATAGTACCAAAACATTAATGAAAACCAACTTCCATTTTTTTTTAATTATTAAAACTGCAATTATCCTTTAAATTATGTGGCCTGAAAAAAAAAAAAAAGCTGAGTGTAGTGTAGTAGGGTTCTTTTGCTTTCTGTCCATCCAGCTCTGCATCACAGGTTATTTTCAAGTATTGGGGTCTGTGTATTCTTTCTACCCATCCCGCCCGCGCCAATTCAACTCTTCCCTCATCCCTCATCCCTCATCCCCTTCCCATTGTAAAAAATCCCGTGTGTGGTCCACCTTTGTATCTCTACGTGGTGTACTCAATCTGACGGTCCAGATTGTACGATGTAGGTGAATGATAGGAAACAAAAATGGAGGCCAAGACGCAGGGACCCAGAATTGCCAGTGCAGAATGTCACGTGTCGATTAAATGTGGTGCATGGCCCATGATTGATCAAGTCTGAGACGATATACACGAGACGTTCCCAAGTAGAAAAAGAACACACAGGCACACAGCTACAAACCCACAAAATAAAAATTATAGTAAATCCTTTTGAGTCTGGTCTTTGCTCTGCTCAGTCTCCTCATAGCTTCTACTACCTACTCTTCTTCTATCGAGAGAGGAAAGCATGCCTCAACCAGAGTTTTAGTCTTTCTCCTTCTTCATCTCTTTTGTTTTGTAATGAAATGAACCAAGATCTTACCTTCTTCTTCCCTGGAAGAAGATGGCTCTGAATCATCACCTGGAATCCACTGCACAACACAACTCTGCATTGCTTCTTGATGCTCTTTACTGTTCAGAAGAGAACTGGGAGGAAGGATTGAGGGAGGATTACATCGAAGAAGTAGAAGAAGAGGAGGAAGAAGAAAGAGGCTACAATGGTGGTGAAGGAAATGTTTTTCCAGTCTTGCTGGAACAGGACATGTTCTGGGAAGAAGGAGAGCTTTCTTCTTTGTTGAAAAAGGAAGAGCAAAATCAACTGTACAAGTGCATTGACAACGACGTAAATCTTGCCGGGGCTCGCCGGGAGGCCGTTCGGTGGATGCTCAAGGTCATTGCCCATTACTCTTTCTCTGCTTTGACAGCAGTCCTTGCTGTGAACTATCTCGATAGGTTCCTGTTTAGCTTTCAATTCCAGAGGAAGAAGCCATGGATGACCCAGCTCACGGCGGTGGCTTGTCTTTCTCTTGCTGCCAAGGTGGAGGAGACCCAAGTTCCCCTCTTGCTGGATCTGCAAGTATATGTAATTACATTCAATCTTGCTTTATTATGTTTGACGAGATGTTTGCCGTTGACTTGGTAATCAATGTCGGTATTGTTGATCTGTTTAGGTGGAGGAGAGTGGGTATATGTTTGAGGCCAAAGCAATCCAAAGCATGGAGATTTTGGTGCTCTCAACTCTTCAATGGAAGATGAATCCTGTGACCCCACTTTCATTTCTTGATTACATCGCAAGGAAGCTGGGGTTAAAGGACCGTCTATGTTGGGAATTTCTCAGGAGATGCAACCTCATTATGCTCTCTGTCATTTCAGGTCAGCAAAATCTGTTTTTGATTCATTGTTTTTCCAGTTTCTGAATCTGAATTCTCATGTTTCCCTTTTATTTCTATTAATTCATTTGCAGACTTGAGGTTCATGCGCTATCTTCCTTCTGTAATGGCAACTGCTATAATGCTGCATGTTCTGGATTGTGTCGAACCCAATCTTAGATTGGAATACCAAAACCAGGTCTTGGGCATACTTGGACTCGATAAGGTTATTGATCTTGACCATCCCCACATTCACTAAATCCTGGAAATTTCCATTACTGTGCCTAAAAGCTGAATTTTTTCTCTTAACAGGACAAGGTGGATGATTGCTTTAAACTGATTATAGAATCAGCAAGAGACCATTCCACTCATTCCAACAAAAGGAAGTTTGATTCTATACCTGGCAGCCCAAATGGCGTGATAGATGTGTCGTTCAGCTCTGATAGCTCGAACGACTCATGGTCAGCAACATCATCTGTGTCATCCTCGCCGGAGCCTCTGTCCAAGAAGGGCAGGACTGAACAGGACCAGCTTCTGCATAGGCTGAGCCATGCATCTCCAGATATTCTCAACATTCCCCCCTAGTACCGCGGCCTCAATTGCTCTTTTTTCCTCAAGAACTATATAGCTTCTGTAATAATTATTATATGTTCTTTTCATTTGCAAATTAAAATTGCTTACCATCTCTGCATTTTGCAATCAAAACCCAATTGAGATTTTCCCATTGGGTGATTGCATTGGTGCTGTGGAATCGTGGAGATTTAGAAGCTGAGATGTTTGGCATTTCACCGGAAGATATCAAAGAGCATGAACATAGCTATGAGCCTATGAAGAACCATTGCATTGGTATATTTAGGACCATAATTTCTTTTTATGAACATAATGGTACTAATTAATTTCATTATTACGGAGTCCACATGTTATAACTGTGGTTTTGATAATTTGAATAATTATGGGAAAATCGAAAGGAGGGAAACATAAGGAAATAAGGAGGAAGGAGAGATTGAGAGTACAATAAGAGTAGTTTTTGTTTGCATGTGAAGGGAAGAAAATGTTGTCGGCCACTGGTGATTTTAGGATGGTTTGTTTTCTGACTTTTAATTTTGGGGGGGTCTGACCTCGTTGAAAGAGCTCATGTTTTTGTAAATGACTTTGCTCGAGATTGCATGCTGACTGGAGTCAGGACTTTGTAGTTTGAATTTATAGCATCCAGCTGTTATGCCCCCCCTTTTGATTCCCCAAAGAATAATTTTCAAAACAAATAATCATCTAATAAGTATTGGTGTAGGACTTTTCTTACTTTGAAACAATTGTTGAAGACATACTTGATTAGCAGTTGTCTACTGTAGACAACGTTCTATAAACTGCTAGCTAGTAAACTACTATTGAGTATTTAGTCGATTAAATAGATGCTAAACTGTGATTTGATTCATTTAGTCAACTAAATACTCGGTAACAATTGTTTAGGATAGCAGTTTCATTTGAAAATTGCTAAGCAAACATGCTTATATGCTAGCCTAGGCTATTTAGCATTGAATCCAAAAGAATTGGGTTGCTGTTAACGAGTTAAATAATTTTATTGTATTTTTTTATTAAAAATAAAAAATTTTAAGATTAAGTTACATAATATACAAATAAATTGTGTTAAAAATAAGAGAGACTATCTCTTATTATATAAACCAAAATAAAATAAAATAAAGACTTTGTTAAGCTAATGTTAAAAGTTGAGTCAAACACACTAAATTATGGATTGATCTATTCCTACCAAATCATACAAAAAACAAAAAAAAAAAACAAAAAAATCAATTCTAGAAATTTCTACATATATATATATATATATAGTTTGAATAAAGAAAGGAGTAGAGGTGGGAAGGAAGAGTCAAGAATTTGGTGGGATTTCACTTCGGTTCAAAGTAATTGTTTGGTGATGCAGAAAAAACAGGCACAAGAAGGCTTGCATGTGCTTTCTAGAACTTTAAAACTAAAGGGTGGGAATCATCATATCACTTTGGTCTTTGGCTTTTTTCTTAAAAATTAGAATTCACAGCCCTCTAGATTTCCACATTACTCTAATCTGCCAAACAAACTTCAGATTATTGAATGAAACTTTGAGTAGGTTTTTTAATGTACCGCAAATGTCGGAGCTCTGTATAAAAATGAAAACGGTTCGTTTCATCTCATCTTGACCATATCATGAACTCTTGCTTGTGTTTAGTAATGTATTGGGGCATGCATGTTCATACATATGCATTAATATTTAACATCCGGAATTCATATATATATATAAAAAGATCGGGAATTCATTTTATTTTATTTTAAAGGGAAAAAGTATAAAAAAAATAAAAATCAGAATGTTTGGCACTTTAAATACTAAAATTTTTTGTAAAATTATTTATATATTTTTAATGAATCTTTTGACTTTTTTGCATGTTCATTTATTGAAAGTATTTTAGTTTTTCTTATTATCATTTTTTATATTTTTATTACCAAGATATCATGATTTTTCCTCAATTCCAAAGTTTTTTTTTTCTCAACGCAACTGGGTATATAATAAAATTTCTTCACTTTGTCCCTAGTGTACCTATACAAGTATCCATAATCACTAAGAAATAACTTTATGTTAATTATATATAAGTGAGTCAATTTAGGAAAGAGCAACCATATATGACCAAGTAATTTCTTACAAATCTTTCAATCTTGGAACGAAGAAGTTGAAGAGGTAGGTGAGTATGGCATGTCCAAGATAAGCTAAGGTACAATCTCATTACATCTTTGGAGAAGCCAACATTTGATGAGAATATGTAAATTAATAGAAAAACATATCCATTTTATTTACATTGTTTTATATTGGAGGTTGGAGTTTCAAATTCTATTTATCAAAAAAATAAGAAAATAAAAACATTAAATTCTTAAGTTACTAGCTCATGTGAGAATATTTATTTTGCTAATAACTTAAGTGGTTCAATATAATTTTTTAGTGATAATTTAAAATTTTAGATTTAAACATGCAAATAAAAAAGTTAAAAACATGAGAAATGGTTACCTCAATAGTTGATCTCATGGTTGAAGTCTGATGTCAAAAAGGAGGAGAAGGAGGAGTGAGGCTTAAGGAAAGGAGGACCCCAGAGGGAAAAAGGAGAATTATAGGACTAACCCGCATTAACCTCAAAAAGAAGGCATAAGAGAAGATGAAAAGGGCGATTTGGATGCAATTAGATCCACACAGAAAAGTTGAAAGGTGGAGCATGTTGAAATTGGGGGACAATATCTTTTTATTTTATTTATTATTATTATTATTTTTTTTTGCCATCATCTTTTGATTTTGTTTGAGATGTCCCTATTCCTTTGGTCTGTGCTAGCTTTTGACAATTTTGCACCCTGCAAAACACATTGTGGCAAATTTCAACCCAAAAAGAAAAGGGAGAAAAGACAAAATGACAACTGATGAGATCTGGAATAATGATGAGAAAATTTCCTCAAAGCCCACTCACTCTTTTGACCAGCAACCATTGATGTGGTCAAGCTTAAACCTGAAAGAAAATTGGGCATCATTCCCTGTTGAACTACACTTCCAATGTAATTAATTAGGCATATAGAACCATCATCCCCTTCCACAAATCTTTTTTTTTGTACACAGAGAGATTGAAAAGGGTCAATATTCCAATTTTGGATCTTGATCATTTTGGTAATACTTGATTTTGTAATGTTCAATTCACATGACTAAATGTGGGTTAAAATACCCCCAAAAAAAAAAATTAGGGACCCCAATCCTTGACAGAACTTACTCAATGAATCAAGACAAAATTCCCATTTCTATAATGTAGACAATGTGAGAATGAAGCACATTAATAACCTTGTGTCTTCACTTTTTGTACTAAAATTTCCTGATTACCAAATTGATTTGAGGGGAAGAGGGTGTCAGGGAAAGCAGAAGCACATTCCATGCATGATCGATATAATTGTACATGGCAATGGCAGGGACCAAAAAGGTATGATTCTGCATTGTGCATTCAGGTTTTGTTGCAGATCATAGCAGGAAACTAGCCAGTAGTAGAAAAGTCGACATTCAATGTAACATCACGAGATGAGTATCCAATGAGCTGTGCCAACTCTCAGGAAAATGCCAAACCATTTCCTGTCCCTAGAAAATACAAGAAAAAAAAAAAATTAAAATTTGAGGAATGTTGAGGCTTTAGAGCAAGCATCTGCACTCTAGATGTGGAGACAATAATTTTCCAAATTTCACTGTTCAATTATGCAGAAAGCACGTTTTTCTTGTCGCGAAGACAGACAAGCAACATTATGAACTAACAACAAAAGAAACGCCGAATAGTGGTCCTGAATGTTGAGGTATGTGACCTACAAATTTGTCTTTGAGGGAATTGGGATTGCCGTTGTGGCTTATTCAGGTTCTGCGAGTGACTTTTAGGCCCCAAATGTCCAGCTTTGGGGGCAGAAATCAAGGGACGTTTGCTAGATCTCAGGTGGCATAACTCCATCAGGGTATAGGGTCACTGCCCTAGAAGTAGAATAATAGGGTTGGCGGGAATGGATCTGAGATTAATCTCTAGTGCATATAGGCAGGATTTCTGGCTCCTATTTGGACACTCCAGAGATTATCCAAACCTAATTAACGTTCATTAAGAGATACAGACGTTTTGGATCTTGTCAGGGGAAAACACAAAAGAATAATTGTACATTTTTGTTGCATTTGAAACAGGATAAGAAGTTCTAAAGATTCATGTGCTGCATCAGAGATGAACGTGATAGAAGGCTAAGTTTGAACCAGTAACCAAACCATAATCGGGATCATAAACAGTTTATCTACAGAATCAGGTGTAAGAGCTTTGCTGTTGGAATCTTGCCGGGGGAATCAAATTTTGAAGGCAGGATTGGATCGTTATAGGAATTGTTTTAGCGGGACTCATTTATAGGAAAAAAAAAAAAGCTAAATTGTAGTACAAATAAGCTGTTAGAAAGTAATTTTAAATGTCAAATAATTAACTCTTAACGTTTAAAAAAAATGAAAAAAAAAAAATTAACACAACACTTGCAAAGTTTATACTTCATTTGAAGAAAATGAATTAAAAGGGAGAAAAAATATTTTATCTAATTATATTAATACGTTGGCTGGTTGGGAGTCTTCCCCTATAGCTGTGAAAAATGCATTAAAACGAATTTGTGTTCTCATTGGTGGTCAAATATTGGGCTGAAAATACAATGCACAGCCCAAATGTAAACAGGCTTTTGTCAATTGGATTAAGAGCCTCTGACTCCCTTCTTCATCTGGGTTTATGTAGCAAATCATCACTGTACACAAGGCACAACCCAACAATACCACCCTGACAAGAGTGAGCTGTGAGGCCCCTCCAAAGTCCAAGGACTGGCTAAAAGTGAATCCCTTCTTTCTCACACATGTGCGAAGAAGTGGAGATGCTAAAACATCAAAATCAAAGACAGAATTATGTTTTTGGGTAATATTGCATATTTTCCAGAGAGGCAATCCTAGTATGAATAATTGTGCAGAACACAAGCACTAAAAATCAAAAGCTTTAACCAAGGAATCAATCCACTTTCTCAGGTTGTTCGGTGTCATGATGTTGAAACAACGACTTCAACAACTATTATGATGAAAACGTAAGAAAAGCAGCAACCACATCAAAATCATGTGCTTGGATCTTATATTAAAGTAGCCAAAAAATATGAGGTTACCACTCCCTGGCACAAAGTTAGAGTAGTCCATTATCAAATTATTGAAACAAAAGCGTGTTGTACGATTTCACTTTATTTAAATTACAAAATCTTAATTATTAATGGGAAAAGATACCTTCAATATGGGGTTATCCTTCCCCAATAAATGGTTTGCCAGACTAAAAAAGAAAGCAAACTCTTATTAAAAATTTAAAAGTG